CTGAATTCTGTTTGCTAGGATTTTATTGAGAATTTTTGCATCTATATTCATAAGGGATATTGGTTTGTAGTTTACTTTTTTTGTTGTGTCCTTTCCTGGCTTTGGTATCAAGGTGATATTGGCTTCATAGAACAAGTTAGGGAGGCTTCCTTCCTTCTTGAGGTTATGAAATCATTTCTGCAGTATAGGTATGCATTCTTCTTTATAGGTCTCATAAAATTCAGCTGTGAAACCATCTGGAACAGGACTTTTTTTGTTGGAAAATTTTTTATTGCTGCTCCAATTTTATTACTTGATATTGGTCTGTTCAGGAGTTCTATTTCTTCCTGACTGACCCCAGGGAGGTTGTGGCTTTCCAGGAATTTGTCCATTTCCTCAATGTTTTCAAGTTTATGTGCGCAGAGATTTTTATAGCATTCAGAGAAAATATTTTGTATTTCCATGGTATCCATTGGAATATCTCCTTTTTCATTTCTGGTTGAGCTTATTAGGGTCCTTTCTTTTCTTTCTCTGGTTAATCTAGCAAGAGACCTGTCAATTTGTTTATTTGTTCAAAGAACCAACTTTTGTTTTATTAATCTTCTGTATAATTCTTTTGGAATTGATTTCATTTAGTTTTGCTCTGACCTTACTTATTTCTTTTCTTCTGCTAGGTTTGGGATTGTTTTGCTCTTCCTTTTCCAATTCCTTGACACAATTCATTAAATCATTGATTTGTGATCTTTCTGTCTTTTGGACATAGGCACTTAAAGCTATGAATTTTCCTCTTAGGATTGCTTTTGCTGAATACCACAGATTTTGATAACTGTGTCCCCTTTGTCATTTAGTTTGAGGAAGCTTTCGATACCCATCTTAATTTCCTCCTTGAGCCAATAATCATTTAGCAATAGGTTGTTTAATTTCCATGACTTTGTGTAGAGTTGAGTGTTTCTGTTGGAGTTGATGTCTAATTTTATTCTACTGTGGTCTGAGAAAATAAATGGTATAATTTCTACTTTTTAAAATTTATTGAGACATGTTTTGTGGCCTAAGATGTGATAAATCTTAGAGAATGTTCTGGGAGCTGATGAGAAGAATGTATATTCGGCAGTTTTCAGGTAGAATGTTCTGTAAATGTCTGTTAGGCCTATTTGTTCTAGAGTCCTGTTTAAGCCCATTGTTTCTTTGTTTATTTTCTGTTTGGAGGATCTGTCCCATTCTGTCAGTAGGGTGTTGAAGTTCCTGGCCATTACAATGTTGCTGTTTATCATTTTGTTTAGATCAAGTAGGATGTCCTTTATATATCTGGGTGTTCCTGTGTTAGATGCATAGATATTTAGGATTGTTATGTCTTCTTGTTGAATTATTCCCTTAACCATTATATAATGACTGTCTTTGTCTTTCTTCACTTTTGTTGATTTGAAGGCTATGTTATTTGATATGAGGATGGCTACACCAGTTTTCTTTTGGTTTGCATTTGCATGGTATATTATTTTCCATCCCTTTACCTTGAGTCTGAATGAGTCTTGTGGGTTATATGGGTTTCCTGGAGACAGCAGATACTTGGCTTGTATTTTTTTAGCCAGCCTATATGTCTTCAGTGGGGAGTTCAAGCCATTCACATTTACTGAAAGAATTGATAAGTGGAGTGGATTTCTGTTCATCCTGTTGGGTATACCCTTATTTCTTTATTTTACCTCTTGAGCCATTGTGGTATCTGGGTTCTGAATTTTAGCTTTTGGATAGTTTTACATTGCTGAGGGTCTATTGTGCTTATCAGTGTATAGTGCAGGTCGGAGTACTTCCTGCAGGGCAGGTCTGGTCTTCACAAATTCACTCCACAATTGCTTGCCTGGAAAGTCTTATTTCTCCCTCATATAAAGAAACTTAGTTTTTCATGACATAAAATTCTAGGCTGGCCATTATTCTGTTTTGTAAGACTGAGGATGGGTCCCCATTCCCTTCTGGTTTGTAAGGTTTCTTTTGAGAAGTCTGCAGTTAGTCTCATAGATTTCCCTTTGTAGGTGACCTGCTGTTTTAGCATTACTGCTCATAGGACTGCCTATTTCGTGTTTAACTTTGACCAGCTTAATGACCATGTGACATGGTGATTGCCTTTTCACGATGAATCTACTAGCAGTCCTGTGTGCTTCTCGTACCTGGATATTTAGATTTCTAGCTAGGCCAGGGAAATTTTCTTCAATTATTCTCTCAAATAAATTATCTAACCCTTGTGTATTTTCTTCTTTGTCCTCAGGGATGCCTATGATTCTTATGTTTGGCCACTTTACATAATCCCACATTTCTTATAGGCTTTGTTTGTTCCTCTTATTTCTCTATTCTTTCTCTTCAATTGATTTTTTTAGCTCATAGGTGTTATCTTCAAGCTCTGAGAGTCTTTCTTCTGCCTGATCAAGCCTATTCTTAAGGCTTTCCACCATGTTTTGTAGTTCCTTGAATGAATTTTTCATTTCCAGAATGTGTTTGGTTTTTATTTAATACTTTGATTTCTTTAGAGAATTTTTCATTCATTTCCTGCATTGTTTTTGTGGCTTCTTTGTGTTGGGTTTCAATTTTCTCTTGTATTTCACTGAGCTTTCTTACAATCCATTTTCAAAATTCTTCATCTATCATTTTAACCATTTCATTTAGGTTGGTACCCATAGGCGAGGAGTTATTGATTTCTTTTGAGGGTGTCCTTTCACCCTGATTTTTCACATTCCCAGAGTTCTTTCATTGATTGCTTCTCATCTTGCCTCTTAATCGAGCACTGGGGATGCTAGGGCTGGCTTATGGCCCTGTCTCTGAGTCCCCAGAGATCAATCCCTGATCGTGCCAGGGAGAGGAGTACTGGTCCTAAGTTGCCTTTGGGGTGTTTCAGCAGGTTTGATGAACCTCTCGGGTTACCTCTCACCTGTTGTCTTCATCTCTTCCCAATGGAGTATAGTAAGTTTGGTCTGCCAGCTTAATGTCCAAGCTGGTGGATTGTACCTGTGGGTATGAATCTGCCACTTCCTAATTGCTTGAGTTGGAAGTCACTATGTTTAGCTATGAGGTTGTTTCCTCTGTCATTGATTGCAGTTTGCATGGAGGAGCCAGCTGCCAAAGTAATCTTTTGTGCCCATGGTAGGCTCTGGTCCCCCAGGTGGGGTACATGAATGCCCCAAGCTTTAGGAGGGACCCTGTAACTCCCAGGGGGTCGCTTGGTCCCTACTCCCCCTGAGATGGGGAGAGAAACAAGAGACATCGTAGCTGGGATGCAAAAGCCTGAGTGAAGGGCTTTGCTACATTATGATTTCTTAGTAACATTTTCTTTTATCTAGCTTATTTTATTGTAAGAATATAGTATAGAACATATATAACATGCAAATTATGTGTTAATTGACTGTTTATGTTATTGATAATGCTTCCAGTCAACGGCAATTAGTAGTTAAGTTCTTATGTAGTCAAAAGTTATACTTAGATTTCACATTGTGCAAGGGATCAGTGCTGCGACCCCTACGTTGCTCAACTGTAATTTCTTCTATGAGCATTAGATCCAGATTAAACTGGCCCTTTTCCTTTTCAGAGTCAGCTTTCAAATGCTCATCTTGGAGGGCAAGGGAGGGTTAGGACATAGTTTTTCTTGTCTTTAATCCCTCTAATTTATGGGCTAACAGAAACAACTGGAATAAAAACTGTTTTTATTATTTTTTATTCATCCATTCATTTATTTAGTATTCACTGAATGCAAGCACTATCTTAGGTGTATGGGATACAGTGGTAAATAAGATACAATCCATGTTCTACAAACTATAAAAGTTAAAGACAGATTATAATCCAGTGTCATCAACACTGCAGAATTACAGTCTCCTTTATTACTGCCTCTTATGTCTTTGTATTTCTCTCCTTGTCTATGTCCAAACTCTACCAAGGATAAATAACAAAGTTTTCCTCATTTTTGAGGCATTAGTGCCTATAATACCCAACCACATACACTGCCTCTGTAAACTTTCCTCTATGAAAATGCCTCATCAGATTGCTCAGTATTATGAAATTACTAGGCAAATCACACATTCACAGCAGGGAAAATATCTAGTCACACATTGGTTTATTCGCACCTACGCATACTCAGAAAAAAACAAACACAATCAAGTCCAGGTGTTCATATAAGTGTGAAGGGCTGAGAAGCAGGAAGCACTACGCTGCCTTCACCCACTTCTCACAATTCATAGTCTCACCATTAGCAATTTTTTTGAGACAGTCTTGCTCTGTCACCCTAGGTAGAGTGCAGTGGTGTCATCATAGCTCACAGCAACCTCAAACTCCTGGGCTCAAGCAATCCTCTTGCTTCAGCCTCCTGAGTAGCTGAGACTACAGGAGTGAGGGCACCACCTGGCTAATTTTTCTATTTTAGTAGAGACAGGGTCTCACTCTTACTCAGGCTGGTCTCAAACTCCTGAGCTCAAACAATCCTCCCGCCTTGGCCTCCCAGAGTGCTAGGATTACAGGCATGAGCCACCATGCCTGGCCTAACAAAATTTCTTTAAAATAAAGATCGATCTGCAAAAGGTCACTGTTAGGCCGGG